CCAAAGGGAAATGATTCCCATTCTTAGTTGAATATCTTAACATTTTAAATTTCCTTTTGGTTCTGACAAGGTGCATTGCAAGCTTTTCCTTCTAGTTCTGATGTCTGTGCCCAAAGCAGGCCTGTGTCTTTGTTCTTCTCTCTCTGGAACTAACCTAGTTCCCACATGGTAAGGGATGCTCCCAAGCCACCAAAGCACATCGCTCTGTCGTCAGTTGAGTAGCTTTCCTTCCTCGAGGCCGCCAAGCGATTTGTTCTTGCATTTCTCAGACAGATGCTTTGAGGACACACAGCTTTCCTGAGTATTTTTATTTTTAAATGTCACGCCTTCAGATTTTATTGTTTGACTGGCTTCCTTCCCTTTAGGAACCAAACTGACATCACAAAAGCGTCTCACTTTCCTCAGACCTCAGCTTTCTCATCTCATCATGGAAGTCCAATCGATTTGGGCTCTTAATCTGGGGTCCATGAGCTCCCAGGTGGCCTCAAGTGTGGCTCTCTTGAAACTTCACGCGGACTTTGGATGCTGGCCTGGATCCCTGGCTGACCTCAGATTCCCACAGGTTCCATAACCCAGAAGTCAGGAGTCACTCAAATAGGTGATCTTTAAAGATGCTTTTTAATTCAGAAATTCCACGAAGCTCTCACCAATTGTAGGAGCTCAGAAACCAAGGCTGGGCGCCCGTCAGCAGACAGTGGCCTGATTGGGGAAGCCCAGTGAATGTCTGCTGATGCTCGTGAAGGTTTCCGAGAGGAGCTTCCCCTCTACTCGCTGGACTGGTTGTTCTAAACTTGCTTGGCCAAAATTATGCCCCTCAAATCCAAGAACTTGGCTGATGATTCTTAACTCTTGGGCGTTTTGTATGTATGTTTTTGTCCAATTAAGCTGTCCCTCAAATAATAAAAGGGGAAACTTTCACTTTTCAATTGAGAAGGTTCGCAAATCCCTAATAAATGCCATACTTTGCATTTGTTCTTGCTTTTCCTTTCAACTGAAACTCACATTGGACTTTTAGCTAGTCAAGACCAGCAAAGACAAAAGAACCCTCGTTCTTGTCTGACTGTTTTGCTAACGGACTGGGGAGCCAGAGGAGGGAAGTGACTCATCCAAAGACACGCAGGCTGATGGAGCTGGAGCCCAGCATCCTGTCCGCGGAGCACGCCTCCCCCAGACCCCTCCCTGACTTGGCTCACCCCCTTCTGCTGTTCAGAGAATACACACCTACACACATGAGGGACGGGCCTGTGTGACATCAGCTTGGGAGGCTACCAAGGAGTGGGAAGTCACAGGCAAGTGTTCGCACATCTGCAGAGTTGGGGGTGGCGGAAAGGGCTGGACAGGTGACTAAGGGGAAGGAAAGCAGCAAAGCAGGGACTTAGCACCAAAAATGGAAGTTTGACAACCCAATCACAAGGGTCACGTGACCGTGAGGAAGATGACTAGCCACACTGTGCTGACGAATGCCTGCCGTGGCACCACCGAGCCCCTCCATGCTCTGCTCCAGCCTCTTCTCCACACCACCCGCCTCTCCCCGCCTGCAGACACCCTACAGGTCACCCCAACTGGGAACTGGCCACTCCCTGTACCTGCTTTCACATCCCCACCCGTGGGCTGTGGCAGGCCTATGTGCTTGCTGTGAACGCCACCCTCTGGCTGTGTGCCTCCCACAGAGCTCCCAGGTCAAACCCCTTTTCTCTTATGCAGCCTTTCCAGATGACCCCTTCCCCTCCTGGTGCTCATCATCTCTCTGCATCTTGAACCCTCAGAGTGAGCTGCTGTCTGTCCTCCTCTCTGCATTATAATTACTTGTGGACATGTCATTTCCCCAGTGGAGACACACACTCCCTTAGTTGGGGTCAGTTATCTTTTATCTTTTCTTTCATTCAACAAGTATTCATTGAGCGCCTTCCATTGATCATGTGTCCTGATCTCTCACTCTCATTGTGACACAGACAAGCAAAGGGGCAAATGCTGTAGAGCTGAAGATGTGCCCCGCAGGTGAGGTGCAGAGGGCTGTGGAAGCACAAGGTCAGAGCATTTAATCCGTCTTGCAGGGGCAGGAGGACGCCAGGAAACGCTTCTGGAAGGACATCTGAGTGGAGAAGTGTAGGCAGGGGGCAGTCACCCAGGCACACAGCGTGGGGGGCTTTGGGAGGTGAGGCTGGCCTGCTGTGTAAACAGCCCGGCACATGGTCCGTGGAGCCTAAGAGAGGCTTTCCCAAGAGCAATAGGAAGAACCCAAATGGTCTCCCCTCTGTCTCTCACAGCACTTAGTACGGGCCTAGAACATCCTTGATGGAAGAGAAATGATCCTAACAGTCAGAACATCTGCGATTTTAAGGTTCTCAGGCATTTCCCTCTGTTCACTGGTCAGATACACGTGAACTTCTGGTTCAGCTTCCCACAGCAAGAGGAGTGGCCGCAGTTTTCCCGATAACACAGACTCGTCTGGAGCACATTTATCTACAGTGACTCAGCCTGAGCTCGCACCATCCTGACGGCCACCAAAGAACAGTGTCACTGAAGTCCTTTCCATCTTTAGCTCTGTCGCCCAGAGGGCCTCGCGAGGCAGGAAGCTTCTTTTGAAGACCCCATTTCCTGAGTATCGGGGTCCTGTTCCCAGGCACAGAAGGGGCAGTGAAGGGGCTGGGAGGGAGGTGTGTGGGCAGGAGCCCCTTTTCCACAACCCTCTAGCTCTCATAGGGAGCAAGGCCCACAGCCTGGGCGCCACATGGAAGAGAGGAGAGAGGACGGGGACGGGAAGTGGTCCACTGGCGGCCTGGAGGCCCACCGAGAATGGAACACGATTTCATCAAGCCTGGCACCCGTGTGGCCAGCTCCTCCTCTCGCCCCTCCGTCAGGAAGGGAGCGTGTACACCCCTAGCCCGGCCCAGGGCTTGGCACCA